GTGGATGTTCGAATCAGATTTTATCATGCCATGTATGAAACTAAACTGATTGTGTATTGCCTTGACTGTAATCTGCCTTTTTCTTCCTTGAATGGTACCATCATCTCAGATACTCAAGCCTACAAACTTGAGGATATAATTCTTTGTTGCTTTCACACTCCATTGCCAAGTCCTACTGATGTGATCACATTTCTCATATTTTTTCTTCTTTCTATCAGTGATGATAGCCATAACCTCCACTCTGGTTATTTTCTTTCTCTTCTAGTCTTGTTTAACTACTGCCACTAAAGTAGTTGTCTTAAATGGGCACCGTTCTACTGTGCTGCTCACTATTCAAAAATGGCAATGGGTCTGTCAAAGTCAACAGTTCTTAGCCTGACACCAAAAATTCCCTATTACTTCTTCTAAACTTACTCTTTTCAGACTTGAATCTTACTTTTCTACTCCTCCCTGTGCTGTGGTGAAATTGAATTCTTTACAATATCCCGACTGTGCTTTATTCTTTCCACCTCCAAGTAGTTTATTCTATTCCTTTACTTAGAATGTGTGTCCAAATCCTGAGCATTCTTTAAGAATAAGCACAAGTTTTCCTTGTTACTTAAGCTTTTCCCTGATGTGTCAAGTTGAAGGTATAATTATTTCCTTGAACTCTAATAGTACCTTATCTGCTTCTAAACTTTGACATTTTTTTTTAAGAGAGAGATTTTTGCTATAGGGTGTGTGTACTCGCTGGAGAAACAGAGACAGAGAGACAGAAAGCAAGAAATCACCCCTGAAGAGGGGTGGCCATGCTGCAATCCCCTCTCCTCCGTTCTCCCTTTGGGATTTTGAGCATGCAAGCACACGTGTCTGGCGCGAGTCTCACGCTGTCAGGTCTGGGACGCAAACCGCAGTTGACTACGTGGGAGTCCAACAACACAACCATTATGCCATCTGCTGGTCCATAAACTTTGACATAGTTTAAAGTTCTCAGTTGTTTCTTCTTGTGTTTATGCCACTTACCTAATTATTTGTCATGTTTCCCAAATTATTTGTCTTATTTACCTCTAAACTTCTCTACATCATTTGGTATAAGAACAAGTGCAGTTTCTTCAAGGAATTTAGCATTGGTAGGAGAAAAGAGAACTCATGTGAGTAACTGCCTTGTACATAAAAATGAATGCTGAGTGACTGGAGGGGTATAGACATGGGAGGGTGAGGACATTATGTAGTCTGCATAATACCACATATCTGAAACTTAGTGCAAATTTACTTATGATTTCAAATTGAAAATGGTTTAGAATTAGGTTTGTTCCACTTAATTAAGAACCAACTAACTGTAATGCTATGTTGACTTTGTCCAGTTCTGCTGATTTTCTCCTGTGGGCTGGGTTAGAGTTTGTACAATTTCACATCATTTTATATATATATATATATATATATATACATATATATATATATATATACACACACACATACATCCATGTAAGAGTCTAGCACCTTAACCACTATGCCATGACCTGCTGGTCCCAACATTTTGTTGATTCAATCTAGAGTAGTTGAGGATGGAATGATTATTCCTTTTTGCTTAAAAATTGTTTTACCAGGATCAGCAGATGGTGTAATGGTTACGTCACTGGACTCCCACATAGTTGACCATGGTTCGAGTCCCGGACCCAGTGGTTTAAAACTCATGCCAGGCACTTGTGTGTATGTGCCTAAGATCCTGAGAGAATGAAAGAGAAGGGATTGTGGTGTGACATCTTCCCTGGGAGATGGGGGTGATTTCTCACTTTCTATCTCTGTCTCTGTCTTTCCAGGGAGCACATGTGCCCTATAGCAAAAATCTCTCTAAAAAATATTGTTTTACTGCGGTGTATACTTTATCTTTTGATCTTTATTTTCATCTTTTAGTGTAATTGCTGCTTCAGGTTTTTCATGCATGGCATCTAGGATTTAATTTTGGCAACCCTTGGTTCTGATGAATGAAACTCTAGTTTTAACCTTTTACATAAAAGGTAATGCTCTGGAATTTGTACAACAAGCACATATTAAATTGCTTTTTTACTAGGTTGGATTGAATATTTTCCATTTTGAGTTTATAATTTAGGAGTCACATTGGCAAGATTCTTGCAAAAACTGAGTAAGTCTCTAGCAAGACTGTAACCTTCAGGAGATCTACAGGACTCTAGGGGTGAAGAGTAAACAGAGGCTGCTAATGCTGCTGCAGCATGTGAATGCTGAAGCATCCCCAACATCACACTTAAGGGTGATGCTTTATTTATGCTAAAGAATTTATTTGTGTTCACTGAATTCCAGCTCATAACATAAAGCCCTGAGTATTCATTAAGAAGCAACAAAATTCCTTGACTAGTCACTGAGGCATTGTTAGCTGAATCTCTCATGAGGTTCATGTCACTCATCAGAACGCACATAGCACATGGGTCAAATTTCTCATGTTCTTTTGGTTGCAAAACAGAACTTACATTCTAATCAAAACCATCTATGAAAACTCTCCAAAGCTGACACCAGCCCCCTGGGCCACTTTATCATTTGCTAGACAGTTGCAAATGTCCTATTTGTTGATGTTCTATGAAATTTTAACTATTTAATAAAGATTTATAGTACATAGTTCAATACCTTGAGTTTTGATGTGACAAGGGAAAGTTAAAAAGGTATGATAGTGTTTCCCAATTTGAAAGGGTCAGTTTAGCTCAGATCATTTTAAACATGGTATGTCCTGAGTGTGCCCATTGAACTGAAGTGTTCTTCAGTCTCTGCAAGGTGTGTCCTACACATTGGAACACACTTCTGCTCAGATCTGTATTTCATTTCCCATCAAAACTGTAGTACCCCTTTGAGCTTCGTTCTAATTGCCTTGGGCCTTGACATCCCCACTAGGTTAGATAAGATTCTCTATGTCATCAGTCATTAAGAAGGGCACTGGTTTAATCTAGAGAAAACTAGACATGGCTGTCCTTACCTGGGTATCACCATTAATTTACTGTTTACCTGCACTCCTTGCTCCCTCTTCCTTCCACTATCAGGGCCAGCTATCTAAGATAGCAAAGGTATTCTACATAGAATGTTCTTGAGCTGCTGGCACTCTCTTCAACCCAAGGTAGCCAGTTTTACAGATTTATTTATAAATCCTTTGCTACCTCAGTTAGTTCAGTAATCCTTTTTCTTTCTTTCTTTTTCTTTTCTTTTCTTCTTCTTCTTCTTCTTTTTTTTTTTTTTGTAGAGAGATTTTTGCTATAGGGTGCATGCACTCACCAGCGAAGCAGAGAGAGACAGAGAGACAGAAAGAGAAATCACCCTTCAGGAAGGTTGGCCATGCCATAATCCCTTTTCCTCCATTCTCCTGATCGGATCTTGGGGACACATTCACATGTACCCGGTGTGAGTTTAAGCCACCGGGTCGGGACTCAAACTGTGGTCGACTATGTGGGAGTCCAGTGATGTAACTATTAAGTCATCTGCTGGTCCTCAGTACTCCTTTTTCTAAATTGATTGACTTCCCTAGCAGTTGACTTTGGGTATTTACAATAAAATGTTAGTACTTTCATTTTACTGTTTTTTTTATGTTGAAAATTTGCTAATTAAAATATGATCCTCCTATTTATTTCCTTTAATTCTCATGAGATGTAATTAATCAGTTTTTAAAGTTTACATTAGATAAAATTACTTTGCAAGACTATTCCCATCAGATGGTCAAATAATACAAGGGAGAACTGCACCAATAGATATTTTCCCCAGGAAGTCATTCTCTAGAACAAAC